GGTACATATACACAATGGAATATTATTCAGCCATTAAAAAGAATACATTTGAATCAGTTCTAATGAGGTGGATGAAACTGGAGCCTATTATACAGAGTGAAGTAAGTCAGAAAGAAAAACACCAATACAGTATACTAATGCACATATATGGAATTTAGAAAGATGGTAACGATGCCCCTATATGTGAGACAGCAAAAGAGACACAGATGTATAGAACAGTCTTTCAGACTCTGTGTCAGAAGGCAAGGGTGGGATGATTTGAGAGAATAGCATTGAAACATGTATATTATCATATGTGAAACAGACTGCCAGTCAAGGTTTGATGCATGAGACAGGCTGCTCAGGGCTGGTGCACTGGGATGACCCTGAGCGATGGGATGGGAAGGGAGGTTCAGGATAGGGAACACATGTACACCCATGGCTGATTCATGTGAATGTATGGCAAAAGCCACCACAACATTGTAAAGTAATTAGCCTCGAATTAAAATAAACTAAAAAAACAAACAAAAGATTTACGTGTTCCAAGCCATGTATTGGACACCAGAAGTGAAGTCCTAGTCAGCTGTATACTGGATGCAGTTTTGCTGTTTAGTTGCTAAATCGTGTCTGACTCTTTTGTGACCCCATGGACTGTAGCCCACCAGGCTTCTATGTCCATGGGATTCCCAGGCAAGAATACTCGAGTGGGTTGCCATTTCCTTCTCCAGGGGATCTTCCCGACCCAGGGATTGAACCCAGGTCTCCTGCTTAGGAGGCAGATTCTTTATCACAGAGCCACCTGGGAAGCCCCATACGGAATAGAGAAATTTTTTTAAAAAGTTTAAGTTAAATTCCTTCTTCAAGTTGGTGGTAGGTTTCCACATTTGCCAGATGTACAGTACATGTACACTAGACAGTACAATAGAGGAAAGTAAAAAATTCTGGGAAGGGTGTAGGCATTTTTCAACATAAGTATCAAAAGGAACAAGCCAAAGCTGCTTAACAATTGAAGGACCAATCTTTAAAAGGAAAAAAAAAGTTTTAGTTCATCTCATAGGGAAATTATTTTGTTAAGTACATTTCAAGAATTGCAATATCATTATAATAGGATATCCTAGAACTCTCATTTTATTTCCAAATTGTGCTAAACTGTAATTACGTAATTCAAAAAAATTGACTTTATTCAACATACCATCATTAAATAAAACCAAGAGCCAACTCTATGTTGGGCATTTTTCGTAATACTTCAAAACTCTGAGGAAACCAGGACATAAATTACAAGTAGGACAAAATTCTGATTTACCTAGCAAGCCACAAGGGAAGCCCATTAAAATTTTAGGTGGGAGGATATCCAAAATAAATCTAAATGGACTTGTGATTCATTAATTAGGAGTCTCAAATCTACTAACCACAAAAGCAGTACTGGCATTCACCAGAGCCAAAGGTATATTACAAAACTCTGACAAATTCCAAACTGGCACTGTAGTTAATGAGATCATTTCGTGTGACAATTTTCAAGATTTTTTTTTTCCTTCTGTAATATTTACTAAAAATAAAATATTTTACTTAGCTGTTGGTAACTTCACCAAGTCTTTCAGGACTTCTGTTTTCAAGAAGACAGAGTAAACATATTTTACATACATGTGGGGGGGATGTGTGTGAAACAGAAGAAAAGACAAAAGACTAGCTACTAACTTAGGACCAAAGGAAAAATACAGTGCTGAGTTCCCCATATTTGTCAAAAAACAAACACAAAGATTCAGTGACCTCCAAATAGTATATACCCAATAAAATCCATGGCAAAACACAATCACAGTCAAATTTCTAAATACTGAAGTCAGGGGGAAAAAAATCTTTAAAGCAGCCAGAGAAACAATGTACTATAACATGAGAAAAACATTTTAAATTACAACAGATTTTCATCAAAAACTATGGAAGTCAAAGGAAGTGATACCAGTGCTAAAAGAAGTTATAATCCAATGAAATTCTTTATCCAGTGAGAATATGCTTCAGAATGAAGGGAAATCAAGACATTCTCAGAGGAAGGAAACAAAAATCTGTCACCAGATCTACCCTAAAGTAATGACGTAGTGAACTTTCTTTTTTATTTCGTTATTTTATTGATGGTTTGAAAGACTCAACATAACAGAAAGATGTCAATCTTCCCTCAAATTAACACACAATTTAATGCAACTCCTAACAAAACCCCAGCAAGGTTCTTAGTAGATACAAATAAGATTATTCTAAAATGCATAAGAAAAGTAAAGGATTAGAAAAGCCAAACAATTCTTAAAAAGAAATCAAGTGAGGGGAATCATTCTATCAGATTTTAAAACTAATTATATAGCCATAGTAATAAAGGCTATGTATTACTGATGGAGAGACTAAAACAAATCAGTGGAATGGAGAACCTAGGAAGAAGCCTACACAAGTATGACTGACAGATCTGTAACAAAAGTAAAGCAATTCAATAGAGGAAAGACAGTCTTCTCAACATGGTGCTGGAACAAGTGAATAAGAGATTTAAACATAAAACAGACTACAAAACTTGTAAAATAATACAGGAGAAAATCTTCAAGATGTAGGACTTGATGAAGAGTTCTTAAACATGACACCAATAGCACGAAAAATAATTAAAAAATAAATTGGACTTCATCAAAACTGAAAATCATTGATCTTTGAAAGATCCTATTAAAGGATACAAGGCAAGCTATAGAATAGAAGAAGATATTTAGAAACCACATATGCGACCAAAGACCTATGCCTAAAGAACTCTCAAAATTCAACATTAGAAAAACAATCCAATAAGAAAATGGCAACAGATATGAAGAAACAGTTTGCCAAAGATAAAATATGGACAACAAACATAAAAATATGTGCAACATCTTTAGCTATTAGGGAAATGTAAATTTAAAAGCATGATTAAAGAAAAAAAATGGTGAAACATTCCTATCAGAACAGCTAACATAAAAAATAACTATTAAGTGTTCATGAGAATAAGGAAAACATTACCACCTCACAACCTGCTAATGGAAATACAAAATGGTACAGCCACTCTGGAAAATAATTTGGACATTTCTTTTTTAAAAACATTTACTGTAGAAAAAGCAAGAGAACTCCAAATATCATCTACTTCTACTTTATTGATTACATCAAGGCCTTTGACTGTGTAGATCACAACAAACTGTGGAAAATTCTTCAAGAGATGGGAATACCAGACCATGTTATCTGCCTCCTGAGAAATCTATATGCAGTATCAAGAACAGTTAGAACAGGACATGGAAAAACAGACTGGTTCTAAATTGGGAAAGGAGTATGTCAAGGCTGTATATTGTCACCATTTATTTAACTTATGTGCAGAGTACATCAAGTGAAATGCCAAGCTGGATTAAGCACAAGCTGTAATCAAGATTGCTGGAAGAAATATCAATAACCTCAGATAACAGATGACACCACACTTATGGCAGAAAGTGAAGAGGAACTGAAGAGCCTCTTGATGCAAGTGAAAGAGGAGAATGAAAAAGTTGCCTTAAAACTCAACATTCAAAAAACTAGGATCATGGCAACTGGCCCTATCACTTCATGGCAAACAGATGGGGAAACAATAGAAACAGTAAGAAACTTTATTTTCTTGGGCTCCAAAATCACTGCAGATGGTGGCTTCAGCCATGAAATTAAAAGACGCTTGCTCCTTGGAAGAAAAGTCATGACCAACCTAGACAGTATATTAAAAAGCAGAGACATTACTTTGTCAACAAAGGTCCATCTAGTCTAAGTTATGGTTTTTCCAGTAATCCTGTATGGATGTGAGAGTTGGGCTATAAAGAGAGCTAAGCACAAAAGAATTGGTGCTTTTGAACTGTGGTGTTGGAGAAGACTTTTGATAGTCCCTTGGTCTGCAAGGAGATCAAACCAGTCAATCCTAAAGGAAATCAGTTCTGAATATTCATTGGAAGGACTGATGCTGAAGCTGAAATTCCAATACTTGTGAAGAACTGACTCATTTGAAAAGACCTTGATGCTGGGAAAGATTGAAGGCAGGAGGAGACAGGGATGAAAGAGGATGTGATGTTTGGATGGCATCACCAAGTTGATGGACATGAGTGTGAGCAAGCTCCGGAAGTTGGTGATGGACAGGGAGGCCTGGCATGCTAGGGTCCATCAGGTTGCAAAGAGTCAAACACGACTGACTGACTGAACTGAACTGAAATATATACTTACCATTCAACCCAGCAGCAATCATACTACTGGGCATTTATCCCAGTGAAATTAAAACTGCATAAAAGCTGGTACACAATTGCTCATAACAACTTTATTTATGATAATCAAAAAAAACTAGAAATAATCAAAATATTCCTAATGAGTAAATAGCTATACAAACTGTGGTACATAAATACGAGGGAATAGGATGACTCAGTAATAAAAAGGGAACAAACTGCTATATGCAACAACTTGGAGGATCAAGAAAGTTAAGACAACCGAAAAAATCAAATTCCCCAAAGTCAAAACCTGTATGATTCCATCACAATGGCAAAACCATAGAGATGGAGAACAGATTAGTGGTTGCCAGGGCTTAGAGATGGTAGGGGTATGAGGGGAGTTTATGTGCAGTGGTTGTGGGAAGCTGGGTGTAATTTATAAAAGAAAAGCATGATGGAGGGCTTTGTGGTGATGAAATAGTTCTATATCTTGATAGTAGTGGTGGTTACATAAATCTGCAAATGTGCTAAAATGGTACAGAATTATACACATACTATACCAAGTCAAATTCCTGGTTTTGATACTGTACTCTATTTACATTGGGAGAAAACTGGGTATGGAGTACAAGGGGACCTCTCTGTACTACTTTTGCAATTTCAAGTTGCAATATATAATTATTTAAAAACAAAATGTAAAAACACAACTATTAGATGATATGCAATAAACTTCTAAAAGATTTCTTGGGGGGAACAGACACCCATCTATTAAATCTGTGTGACTTGAAGAAAATCAGTGCGTTTGCTCTGTAATTTTTTTTTTTCTGGTTTTGAAGAGAAATAGGTTTTGAAAACTCTGCTGGTGTTTACAGTCAAGAAATTATTTCAGTATACTATTGGCCTAACATAAAGCAGACTGCATTGCTTATGCAAAGGTATTAAACAGTTAAAATATTTAAAATGTACCGAGATTTGACTGTACATTGTCTTCCTTCAAAGATTAAATTGATTCCCTAATTAACAGTGAGTACATCTAAATACTTATAAACTTAATTCTAAGAAATACATCTCTTCAAGCTACTTCATACACTAAGATTTCATTTTTGATATGTAAAACACTGCAATACCAACAAAACGGAAGTAGGATGAACTTGAAATAATTCCTCAAAAACAAAGATTATATAGTTCCATGTGTTTGAGATATTTCAATACCAGCAAAAAACATACAAATACACATATCCTTCAACTAGCCAATATTTTAATACACAATATTAACTGCTTTATAAAAAGTGCTTTCATGATCTGTTACCACCTAAAATAATACATCATACAATTTTCAAAAATGTGTTCTTTAACTTCTAACCTCTGCTCTTCTTCAGAATTACCTGTGAGAGGGAGAAAATGAAGATTTACATTATACCTAGGGCAAATAAAACACAATTACTTAACAAAAACTTTAAAAGTCCTATGTGTATAACATGCAAGTCTCTGAATCCATAAAAACCCAATTTGGAATGTGATTAGGGAATCTTTAGACTTATAAATTGTCTTACACTTCTCTAAAACAGTCTAATTCTCTCAAAGAATGTGCAACATGCCTAGAGTCTCAAAATCTAGTTTTATAATAGTCAATTTCTTCAATTGTGCCAAAAGTGTCCAGATTAATGGCTCCCAACTTGAGGTTTATAGAAAATTTAGTAATTCAGGGAGTTAAGATATGTTCTAAAACTTGAAAATCCTATTATAAGCCAGGAATGTACCAACCATAAAGCAATACAAATTCATCCAAACACCAAATTTCCTCTATTTAGGGTAGAATTATATCAGAGACCAAGGCCAGTCATCTCAAGCTGAAAAGCTTGTTACGTAGATAATTTTCACAACACAAAGCCCAGAAGAAAAAGTAAACAAAATGAAATCTTAAGTTGTTAAGGACAAAGAACATTAGAGACCAGAATATATATATATATATGGAAAAATTATTTTAAAGAACTTACCTTCTTTTAGGTAAGTCTACTTAAAATTCACTAACAAAAGCAAACCAATTCTAAATTTAAGATACACACAGACTCCTCCTGTTCTTAAGTCTTGCTTTACCTACAGAAAACACTTACATTGACTTTAACAGTCCAGAAACTAGTTGAAATGTTTATAATTGTAAGAGAATTTAAAGCCCCTTAAAAAATGCCAGGGCATGCCATTTCTAGACTCTCACAAAAGTCATCAAATAGATTTATACCCTAGGCCAGTACTTCTCTGTTCTACAAGACGTTAATATGGGGACTGCAAAATAAAATACTATGTACTCAAATTTATTTACAAAATTCTAAGTACATTATACACCCAAATTTACAAAAAGGTAAGTTAAACAGAGTTCAAATAATTAGGTAAACTTAAAATGATGAAGAAGAAAAGTTTTCATAAATTTTAAGGTAATAATGCTTCTACAAATCACTCAGATTAGCAGTCAAACATTCATTTTCCCCTAAAGCAATAAAGCAATGGCCATGAATCTTTCCATCAGAAACATATACTATACATAGTAAAGAAAATCTAACTCTGTAATTAAAACTCATGAAAAGCTAAGCATCAACTCAGTCAAGGAAACTGAATAAGGAATCTAAATCAGGCAGAGGTGACGAACTAGGTGGTGTTTTAAGGTAACTGTGCCTAAGAAAATAATTTCGACCTTACCTTTGCTGCAGCCAGTACATGCTCCTTTTTAATGACTCCACACTTACTCCCACAAGCATTTATCCGTGACTCTTCTGCTAAGCGATGAACAAACAGTAAACAGTTCAGATGCACCTGTAAAAGAGAAAATTCAAAACGATTTTTAAACTCAAACATTGATATTCTGAAATAATGACTTTTAAACAGAAGATCCCAAATTTTAATGCCACACTATTTACTACTATGACTCAATCACTTAACTTTTGTTTAAGGTAACACAGAATTCAGTTTAATATAGGTTCATCTTAAAATTCCATAAAAAAGAGACTTACTTACTACAGTACATGAAACAAAGCTGTGTAAAGCTGACCAAAGGTCATAGGCAATAGTATTACTCTAAAGGATCATTATATCAAAACTTAGGTAGGATTCTAATAAGAACAAATATTTCTGTTTTCCATTTCAACTAAAGTTAAGTTTCTAATGTAATTTAAAATCCCCCCTAAGAAAAACATATCAACTACTGTATTTAAGGCTAATCATCTCTCATTCTACAATTCAAGGTATAAAATTTTTTAAGCAGATATTTCATTTAAAATGTCTAATAAAAGAAAATTTAATAATTGAAATTTTAAGTTTATTGAATTGAAAAGAGCAGTTACAAAGGTCAAGTTACTTGGTCATACAACAACATGAGAATAATCATATTTACTATTAATAATTTTAAAATTTCTTTTAAAATAGCCTTAAACTAGATAAAATAAGCAGAGAATACAAAATTCAAAAGTGCACAAAGAACTAAAGTTATATATTAGCATTGTGGGAAGCTGCAAAAAACGAATGGGAATTCTGTACTATTTTTGCCACTTCTTATGAACCTACAGTTACCTCAAAATTAACATATAAAGCAAAAAATCTGTGAAGATAAACGGACAAAAGTAAACCTCTCTTCAACATCATTCCCCAGTCAATTCTGATTGCCAGTTTCTTATGTATTCTTACAGAAACAACTTCTACATATATGTAAAATATATGCATCATACGTGTATATACATATGTATCTTTATTTAACCTCACTATTTGAATATGTACAACATCTTGCTAAATATATTACTCAAAGTTCACTAGTCAATCAAAAAGTGCTATTCATTCTATATGTATATACCTTGAAAACAGTTAAAGTAGAGCACAAAACCCAAGTAAGTGAGAATATATCCTAAAAATTCCCACCAAATAAAACATAACTCCCAACTCTTAAAAAAAAGCAAGACTAAAGTGAGCTGCTGTCCTATTTCAATTCTCCGCTAGTATTGAGACTAGTGCTCTTGGATTTAAGTTATTGGCAATACTCCAACCTTTGTTTCTGCCAGGTGCCTGAAGGCACTACCAATTCAGGTTCAATTAGACAGTATCTGTAACATATAACTTCTTTGGTCACTTACTTAATGGTACACATTTTTTGGGCTTCCCTGGTAGCTCAGATGGTAAAGAATCCGCCTACAATGAAGGAGACCTGGATTTGATTTCTGCGTTGGGAAGATCTCCTGGAGAAGGGAATGGCAGCCCACCCCAATATTCTTGCCTGGAGAATTCCATGGACAGAGGAGCCTGGAGGGCTATGGTCCATGGCATCGCAAAGAGTCAGACAAAACTGGGCAACTAATACTTTCCTTCACTTTTACACATTCTTTGCAGTGAGATTAATACACAACACTTAACTCTTCCCCCACAATTCACTAAATGCTGAATAACTAGGTAATGTGGTCCTTTAAATTATTACTTATTATTAGACAGCAGAAATCTTTAGTGGATTGTTGATGTTTAGGAATGTTTTAGTGATAACTGGGGAATGTAGGGGAGTAGGAGATTTAAATTGAACATGATAGAGAATCTTTGGAAGGAGATATTCTTTTGGTCTTCTTTAACTTTCATAAGAATTCTGAGGTAAATCATCTAGTTGATTCTTTACACTATACCATGTCATTCCAAATATGTTTAAACTTCCAATGATATACCATTTCCTTTTGCAACAAAAACACTCCATAATATGGCACAATTTCCTCCATTAATCTTCATTCTCTACTTCTAAACCTAAATAGCTTCCAGATACCCTCAGGATAAATTCCAAATTCCTTAATATTAAACCCCATTTGACTAGGTTTTTCCATTCCGTCTCACCTTCTCCAGCTTCCAGTTCTATGCTAGGCCTTCTGAATTTCTTTCAGTATTCAAATACAATTTTGCCTACTGCCATGCTACTGGTTTATACCGAAAAGCCAAGTCCTCCCAATACATAAGGTTATATGGATCTATGGTACCCCAAAGTTCTTATAACTGTACATACACATACATTAGGCAGCAATTTCTCACCTCTCTTCTTCACTGTAAGGGCAAAACTATGTCTACCTTCCAGACATTGATCCCAGTTAACTTTAGCCTGTGGCCCAATATGTAGTTAAGCAGTCAATAATTATCATTGCATGAGCAAAAAATCCATCCATATCTCCCCAAATTAGGCAAAAAAAAAATGTTTAGGCAATCCCAAATAAACCACATTCTGGTTTGAGACTTGAGTCCTTTACTCTTCATGGGCATGAAACATAGACACTGGATTAATACTATTTTTTTTAACATCAGAATTTTTTTTTTAAAAAACAACCTATTTCTCTGTCATAAAACAGTTAACTGGTGCCATTCAAGTGAACTAAGGTTTAAATTAAAATGGTCAGAAAAAAGCAAAATTTAAGGTCTCAGGTAGACATTCAACCTTGGAAAAGGTAAGCCATTCCATTAAGAACTTACTTTGGAAAAATTTAAAAATTTGCTTCCTTGAAAGGTAAGGCAAAAGATAATTTACAAAGAAATATCCATTTGACTACAAGACTGGGCCAGCATGACTTCCTCCCCACTTCCTCGTAGCACTTTTGAGTTTTACATAAACCATAAGTACTCAGATATTTGCACAGTATCCCTTAGCGATAAATCTTAAAACTAACTCAACCACAAGAAAGCTGAACAATCTGAGATTAACATATGCTCCCCAGTACTGGCCCTGGTGACATACAATCAAGTAGGGTATAAAATACAACAACAACAAAAAACCAGTGCAGGAGAACTATAACATAATACAAGGAAGTTATGAATAATATGTTAGAAATATCAATCCATACATAGTTACATCACTCTCAAATTGTACACTCAGAATTTCAAGAAATAAACACAAGGAATACAAAAAGTTCCCAATTCAAAGTTCCCAGTCAGATGGGAGAACAAAACCCGTAAGAAACTAAAGACAAATGTGTGACAGTAGATGATAAAGAAAGATAAGATAGATCAATTCTAAGATGATGAAGGAAGACTTCACTGACTATCAGTCATTTGAACTCAATTTTGAAAGAACTGGTGTTTGCCAAGCAGAGTGGAATGAGGACATTTTCACGCAGAAGAAACATCTTATGCAAAGACAGCAGAAAAGTAGATTAGTTTTGTGTTAAAGACAATGGGAGACAAAAGGAAATATGCATGGTTCCTTCTCCTCAAGAAGCTGTGTACTACACTGGGAGACAACACTGACGCATGAAACTCTTAAGAGAACACTGTCAGGGTCCCAACAGCTAAACTGTATGATGTAAACTCTTATGGCTATCAAAGTTTAGAAAAAAAGAAAGAAAAACAGATTGCCTCAATTGTAGAGAAGTTTATGAATGATGTGGGACACCTGGCTGGGTAAGATTATTAAGCGCCAATGGCAAGCAGAAAACCCTAAGAAACCAGGGTGATGCATGACATATATAAGGCTGTGAAGGAGAAATAATGAAAGCCAAAGATAAGCATACAGTCTAGGGATAGACAGAGGCCAAAACAACTTCCTTTCCCCTACCACTGCAAATGCTTAGAATTTCACCTCCCATCCTTTCCTGTACCACTTGGATCCCACTCCACAACAAAGCCCACCTGTCCATGGGTCACTTTGGGGCAGGCAAGTATGAATGTGGGAGGAATCTGACGACTTGAGAAATTTCTGGCCCCAAATTTGCACCAACTGGTAATCTCCTTCCCCTCCATTTAGAACCCCAACACCAGTGAAAACTTCAGAATTAATAACTTAAAATTCTTTTGAAAAGCAATTTCACTTTAATATAGCTCACTTGTGCCACCTTAATCACTATCTTCAGGGAACAAAGGTAATAATAAAACAGTATGTATTGTCTTTTCTTACAGAGTCTAAGAAAGGAACCAAAAAGAAGGACAGGAGATATTAGAAAGACTATTTTTATAAGAAAAAAAAATTTTTTAAGTAGTTCTGACTTCAGAGAAAGGAAAAATGAGGACAATTCTATAGTAATCTAGCAAAAATAGCAATCCTAAAATGACGGGAGGCAGTAGAGAACTAGCAGAGGCTGCAGAGAAAAGAGATGGGGAGGTGAGGGAGCAAAAAACCAATGTAGTTTAGGAACAGATGACTGCATTCTGAAGACACTCTCCACGTCATATATCCCTATTATCCACAGTTCTTTATCCCTGATCTCCGGGAAATTAGGTGCCCACCTGTAGTGGTTTCTTGACTCAAAGAGCTCTTATGACAAACCACAGGAGGTGCCTCCTATGGTACAAACCCAGGGAAAGTGTTCATTCTGCTAGAGGGATAATATATTCCAGGCATTCAACATAAAAGCCCTCAATTTATTTCAAAACAGAAATATTAAGAGTGGTTTGACTGCGGTTTTTTATTAGGTGAGCATTATGCAGTAGTTACTATGAGTCAGGTAAAATTTTAACGGTTGGTTTGAAAACTAAACTAATAGGTGTTCTCCTTGTCTAGGAAAACGAATTCACATTTGGGAGAATACTACTTACAAACTTTTGGATCAGTGTTCTTTCTTTAGTAAGTAAGCTGAAGTGAAAGAAACGTCAATATATTTAATAATATACTTAATAATGTAAAGAGAAGGGGAAGGAAAGAAGACCAGGAGAAATACACTTTTGCAAAGCATGTCAGAAATGCCTTTTACAGTAGTTAAAAGAAAGTAACCCACCCTGAATTTCAAAATCTATTTTTAAAAAACTCTATCTTCGAACCTTCACAAATTACACTAAGCACAGTGTTAAGTACCAGACTGTGCTCCTGAAGAGTGATATTTAAAAACTAAAAGCAGTTAACTTTTTCCTTAAACTGATGTGGCTAAAAGCCTCCCGTTAAAAAAAAAAAAAAAAAGTCAGGCTATCTACATTTCAGCGGGCACCAAACAACTTGGCGTCGGGAATACTAACAAGCCCAGGTTTTGCTGCGAATACCTCAAACGTAGGCCTCAAAGAGCTAGATTGGCTGTTACTGTTCAGTCGCTGAGTCGTGTTCGACCCCATGAGCTGCAGCACACCAGGCTTCCCTGTTCTTCCTTATTCTCCCTGAGTTTGATCCGACTCACGTCTATTTAGTCAGTGATGCCAGCCAACCATCTCATCCTCTGTTGCCCTCTTCTCTTCTAGCCCTCAGTCTTTCCCAGTCAAAGCCTTTACCATCCCAGCATCGCAGTCTTTACCAGTGAGTGGACTCTTCCCATCGGGTGGTCAAAGCATTGGAGCTTTAGCAGACTGGCTGGAGGGAGGGCGAAATACAGGCTGGGGGCGTTTATTTCCCCGATCTATCCCCGCCCCACTGCCAGTCTATGAAGGGACAAAATCTCACCAGTAGGTCGCTACTCGTCTCCAAACGAAGCTGAGGCTTCTGTCGTTTGAAAACGCGCTTTAGAAAGCCGCGAGGAGCCTTGCGCCTTATCATCTTCCTCTGCGAGACCGTGGTGGAGAACGCCATTCTCGCCCTCGGGTTTTGGCAGCCGCCGCCTCAACTTCCCGGGTCCTCCCTGCGCCGCACTGAAGCTCACGCCAGCTAGTACAACAAGAACCCCGACTCAGACGCTCCCACAGGCCCGGAGACCCTGGCCGGAACTTTTGAATCTGCCGCCGCAGAGCGCGCCCGGCGCCCGGTAGTGACGTTTGAGGCGCGCAAACCCGCCCCTTGGCGCCCGGATGTTGGTGGAACACACCCTCGGTGGGCGTTCCATGACGTCACAGACGGGGAGGGTTGCCGGTTTCACCTTAAGTAGCTATTGGAAGCAGTTTCTCTAGTGTGCCATAGAGATATTGGAAATTTGTGGAAAATGCTGGTATGCCAAGGCAGTCACGCTTCCTGTCCCAGCTTTCACTCTCTACTGAGCCCAAGACCAATGAACGAAAAAGTAGAAGTTTGTCATGTTTTATCAGGCTTCTTAAAGAACCAATGCCTTCTCAGCAGGGCTTGATTTTCTAATATTAGCAGCTAATATTTTTCACTGCTACATAATTTTATCTGCTCTTACCTGAAGTCTTTTCATGAGTCGAGCTTTTCTTTACAAATGCTGCTGCTAAGTCACGTCCTCCATGTCCAACTCTGTGCGACCCCTTAGACGGCAGACAGCCCACCAGGCTCCTCTGTCCCTGGGATTCTCCAGGCAAGAATGCTGGAGTGGGCTGCCATTTCCTTCTCCAGTGCATGAAATGCTACTCACTTTAATTTTAAGCCCTCTCTGCTTAACCTTGCGACAATTTCTGGTGTAGTTTAAATGCTACCTCTTTGAAATCTTCATTTGCAAGCAGTTCACTCTTCCATTTTCCATGCCACCCGTGTAAGTCCTCAGACTTCACCCTACAGCACCTGAAGCACCATCCACTGGTTTCTTGGTTTAATAGATCCGGCTGTGCCTGCGCTAAGTAACTGCAGTCTCCCCTGACTCTTTAGGACCCTGTGGACTCTAGCCCACCAGGTTACTCTGTCAGTGGGATTCTCTAGGCAAGAATACTGGAATAGGTTGCCCTGCCCTCCTCCAGGGGACCGTCCCCACCCAGGGATCCAACAGGTCTATTGCCTCTTCTGCAATGACAGGCTGTTTCTTTACCACTCGCACCACCTAGGAAGTCCCAATAGGTCTGGGTGAGATTTTAGAATTTGCATTTCTAACAAGTACTTAAGTTATGCTGGCACTGCTAGTCTGACCACTCTGGTATCACTGTGATTTATTTTAATTCCCTCTGCTACTGGGCTCCCCTGGTGGCTCAGCTGGTAAAGAATCCACCTAAAATGTGGGAGACGCAGGTTTGCTCCCTGGGTCGGAAAGATCCCATGGAGAAGAGAATGGCTTCCTGCTCCAGTATTCCTGCCTGGAAACTCTCATGGACACCCAGGCAGGATACAGTCCAGAGGATACCATTTTCAAGCTCTCACTCTGCCAATAATCTTATCTGCCACCCTATGAGCCATTTACACCTGTGTTCATACACTAGGCCTTGTCATTGCTAATACCTTTCCATATTCTCAATTCAGTTGTATTACTCTTCAACCTTCTCTCTTGAATTCACTCTCTCCAGTAGCTCCACTTCAACAATTCTTACATGCTACTGGGATCTCTGTTTGCTCTGTCTCTACTATGCCCTTAACCTTAATCTACATTTTTACCCTCCTTCCTGTAGTCTGTTGTACATCATCATAATATTGCCTTGCATTTCTTCTTAACACTCTTCATGCTCTTTTTTTCCCTCATACCACTTGACAAAAACCTACCTCTGCTTAAGTTAAAAATCTCAATCCATTCTGTTTGCATCTGTGCATTGATGTTGGATGATGCCTTCTGCTTTTAAAACTTTACATATTTAAAAGAATATTTGAATAAAATATGATGGTAATAAGTATTTAGTCCTGTAATGAAGTATGTTCTTACAAATTATCTTATTTGATTTAACAAAATTATAACATTAGTAAGGCTCAAATGGGTGTTATTATTTCTATTTAACATGAAATTAAATAGAGAGTTTAAGTGGCTCTAAGTAAAAGAGTTTATGTGGGAAATTTAAGACATTAATCCTGGTGTTTCAACTTTCCATTAGGTTATACTGTCTTTAAGTGTAAAGTAAGCATCTAAATTCTGCTTATTGTTTTCCTAAACTAAGTTTTTTTTTTATTATAGATTTCACCATTTAGACATTAGTAAATTTCATCATAATTTAAATGGTTCAAAATGGCCTCCTTTTCTCTTATGGTTTTTCAATAATTTAAGTTTCTTTGACCCAAAGAGTTAAAAATCACAAGGCAGCTATTGAAACATAACCACACAACTAGACTCTTCTCCCCAAACTGGACATGCTTTGAGTGATGACAGCCCTTGACTCCAAATCCAGGGAAAGTAAAAGGGAGTCTAGATAGGAAGGACAAGATCTGGACAGGATCTTGACACCAGCAGGATAAATACATCCCTTTCTTTATCCCAACTTTTTTTTCTTCTAAAGTAAATTTTGTCTTCATATGAAAAGGGCAAGTTCCCTTTGACATTGCTGTTTTCTTTGAGAAGACAAAAATAAAATGTATTCATGAAAATCTATTGAAGGATTTTACCCCCTCTCACGATATTCCAAGGAGTTGCTGTAAATGAGAAACAATTAAGCTATTGAGAATTTCAGTCCTTTCTAGATGACTGCTAAGATTCTTTTTAAAACAACAATGTGTTTGTTTTTCAAGATAAGTCCTAAGGAAATTACCCTAAATATAAGATTCATTTTATGCACAGTTTCTTTGAAAGTTTTTAAAATGTCTAATGTGTAAATTTGGGTACATGCATTCAGTTAACTCTTACTATGGCCAGGTTAAAAATGACATTTATGAAAGTTATTAATAGCCTGGAAGAAGGTCCAAGTTTGTGCCAAATGGGAGAAAAATACCTGTACATCAAACTAAATATAATATGATCCCAAGAATATTAAATGCAGGCACACATACACAACACTGGGAGGAAACATACCAAAATATGAACTGTTTTTAGGTACTGGGAATATGGATAATTTTGTTTTACTAGTTTCACTTCGGTTCAGTCGCTCAGTCATGTCGGACTCTTTGCGACCCCATGAACCGCAGCACACCAGGCCTCCCTGTCCATCACCAACTCCCCGAGTCCACCCAAACCTATGTGCATCAAGTCAATGATGTCATCCAACCATCTCATCCTCTGTCGTCTCCATCTTCTCCTGCCCTCAATCTTTCCCAGCATCAGGGTCTTTTCCAATGAGTCAGCTCTTTGCATCAGGCGGCCAAAGTATTGGAGTTTCATCTTCAACATCAGTCCTTCCAATGAATACCCAGGACTGATCTCCTTTAGGATGGACTGGTTGGATCTCCTTGCAGTCCAAGGGACTCTCAAGAGCCTTCTCCAAATCCACAGTTCAAAAGCATCAAATCTTTGGTGCTCAGCTTTCTTTGTAGTCCAACTCTCACATCCATAAATGACCACTGGAAAAACCATTGTCTTGACTAGATGGACCTTTGTTGACAAAGTAATGTCTCTGCTTTTTAATATGCTATCTAGGTTGGTCATAACTTTCCTTCCAAGGAGTAAACATCTTTTAATTTCATGGCTGCAATCACCATCTGCAGTGATTTTGGAGCCCAGAAAAATAAAGTCAGGCACTGTTTCCACTGTTTCCCCATCTATTTGCCATGAAGTGATGGGACCGGATGCCATGATCTTAGTTTTCTGAATGTTGAGCTTTAAGCCAACTTTTTCACTCTCCTCTTTCACTTTCATCAAGAGGCTCTTTAGTTCTTCTTCACTTTCTGCCATAAGGGTGGTGTCATCTGCATATCTGAGGTTATTGATATTTCTCCCGGCAATCTTGATTCCAGCTTGTGCTTCTTCCAGCCCAGCGTTTCTCATGATGTACTCTGCATATAAGTTAAATAAGCAGGGTGACAATATACAGCCTTGACGTACTCCTTTTCCTATTTGGAACCAGTCTGTTGTTCCATGTCCAGTTCTAACTGTTGCTTCCTGACCTGCATACAGGTTTCTCAAGAGGCAGGTCAGGTGGTCTGGTATTCCCATCTCTTTCAGAATTTTCCACAGTTTATTGTGATCCACACAGTCAAAGGCTTTGGCATAGTCAATAAAGCAGAAATAGATGTTTTTCTGGAACTCTCTTGCTTTTTCGATGATCCAGCGGATGTTGGCAATTTGATCTCTGGTTCCTCTGCCTTTTCTAAAACCAGCTTGAACATCTGGAAGTTCACGGTTCACGTATTGCTGAAGCCTGGCTTGGAGAATTTTGAGCATTACTTTACTAGCGTGTGAGATGAGTGCAATTGTGCGGTAGTTTGAGCATTCTTTGGCATTGCCTTTCTTTGGGATTGGAATGAAAACTGACCTTTTCCAGTCCTGTGGCCACTGCTGAGTTTTCCAAATTTGCTGGCATATTGAGTGCAGCACTTTCACAGCATCATCTTTCAGGATTTGAAATAGCTCAACTGGAATTCCATCACCTCCACTAGCTTTGTTCATAGTGATGCTTCCTAAGGCCCACTTTACTTCATATTCTGTAATAAACATGCCTAAAGAAGTAATAAAATGTTTCATATTTTAGGTAACTGATGTTGTATATGGTTTAAGTGTTTACTGAATAAATTTTATTAAAATACTTCTATAAGAAAATTACTTACATTAGAAAACGCTAAAAATTGACAATACTTTCTGATGTGTGACAAAATCTTGGAAAATAATTTGACTTTGCTTTTCATGTTTTTCAGTCCCTCAGTCATGTCCTACTCTTTGCAACCCCATGGACTGCAGCTCACCAGGCTTCTCTGTCCTTCACCATCTCCCAGAGCTTGCTCAACCTCATGTCCATTGAGTCAGTGATGCCATCCAACCATCTCATCCTGTCTCACCCCCTTCTCCTCCCCTGCCTTCAATATTTCCCAGCATTAGAGTCTTTTCTAATGAGTCAGCTTTTCACATCAGGTGGCCAAAGTATTGAAGTTTCAGCATCAGTCCTTCCAATGAATATTCAGGACTAATTTCCTTTAGGATTCCTTTTCATAAGTTGTACTAATGCATACATATGGACAATGTTACTAGGTAATGTATTCCTGTGAATTAACATTTTTGGATCATTTTAAATGAAATCAATGATTTAAAAGATT